AAAAAACCATACTAATCCCATAGTAAAAGGTATTATTCCATTAATATAAGTTATTCACTCCAAATTATTACTAGTTTTACTATTAAAAATGATTTTAAAATTTTATCAAATCTTTAAAAAATTGATTAAAAAAATACTATCCAAAGTTATGTAAAAATTTTTTTCTCAAGAATCAGATAAAATTAAATCATCATATCTGAAAATCTGATATATGTTAATATGTAGGTTTTTAAAAATTTCCATGTCAAATTTTTTTCTTTCCAAAAATGATTGTATTTCTTTTATTTTTAATTGCTCGAGTTTTAGAAAATGTGGTAACATAAGATTCTATATACATAATTACTGAAAGCTAAGCTATAAACTAACATAAATTTTCTGTACCATTATTATATATGTTTTTGCGTAAATGATGACGAAGTCGTGAATCAATCGTCACCCAAATGATAACGGATCCACAGATAAATCATTACCCAAATGACGACGAATTTGCGGATCAATCGTTACCCAAATGACGACGAATTTGTGGATCAATCGTCATCCAAATGACGTCGAATTTGTGGATCAATCGTCCTCCAAATGACAATGAATTCGTGGGTCAAATCGTAACCCAAATGATGACGAATTCGTGGATATAAAAGAAAGAGAGCCAACACATGCATACCAGGATCATAGTCATAGTTATATTTACCTAGTAGATACTTAATTTAGTCATAGTAGATACATAGTCTAGACATAGTAGATACATAGTCTAATCCTAGTAGATACATAACCTAGCTAAGTAGATACATAATCTAATAGATTATGTATCTACTCAGTTAATAAAAAAGAACAAAAAAAAAATTAATCTTTTCTTGAAAAAAGTATAATTTGCGAAGAGCTTTTAGCTAATAATAATTGGGATTTTTTTATCGAAAATCTTGAAAAAATTTCTACAAAGTCATACTATTTTCATGAAATTAAAAAACGACTTTCGATAATGGCATAAATTTACTGTGCCAGGTCTATGAATTTATAATTATAATTTGTAGCAGAAATATATTTTTTAATACATTAAACTCCTCCAATTGTAGAATATTGTTGATAACAGGAATTTGCTTCCTGGGCATGGTTGAAACACGCTCGTTCAACATGATCTCTTAAAAGAAAAAGAACTCAAATGGAAATTCTCAAATCCATTGCTTTCTCCACCCACATCTCTTATGAATTTTCTATCATAGTCCTGAGATTCTAGATTTTTCATTGTGTGCCCCTTCGGGTGTAGAGTCAGATTGGCCATTTTTCTTCAACAGGTTATTATAAATTTATTATATTCATTTTTCTAAAATCTCAATCATTGGCTCTTTATCAGGATCACGAACAATCGATTCTGTTAAAAAAATTTTCATTTTTTGTTTTGGTCCTAAACTTGACAAAAATCTCCATAGGCAGGGAACAAAATTTGGTAAATAAGTTAAATTCATGATGATTTCACGTTTTAGTGAATTGAAGATTTTCATAAATAAATTATAAAATTGACAAACTGATTGAACATCAATTGCCATTAAGGTAATTTGACTTGATGCTAAACTTGATTTTTTTTCGTTGATTTTATGTTTTTTAATCGATGAACTTTGATTGCTGGTGGTGGTGGTGGTGGTGGTGGTGGATGATAATAATAGAGAAGATTTAAAGCTTAAAATTTGATCAAAAATTTTAT